GACACACACACTGTGGCACAAAGCGGTTCCCCGGGGGGGGGAGGTTCGCCCTCTCGGTCGCCCACTCACCACAGGTAGGATTCCGCCTGCACCCACCGGCCGTAGGCCTGCCTGTACTGAAGAGTGGTGTGCAGCACCAGCAGTGCCAGCCGCTGGTCTGTGTCCAGGCCGGGCACTTTCCCCTGCAGCAGCCGATGCGTCTGCCCAAGGATGCTCTTCAGCTCCAGGGGCATCTCGCAGAAAAGAACCATGGCGTTCCGGTGCACGGGCCCTGGGGAGCGGGGGGGGCAAAGGCAAGATCAGGCCCAGCGAGGAGGGAGGGGGTATTTTCCTTCTGCAAAATGAGGGGTGGGATGCAGATCTGGGGGGGCAGTGGGGAGAGGCTCTGCAGGCACGCACGCCCCACTGGCAGGCCTCTCCTTGTCACCTGTGGTCCCTCAAAGGCCCGCCCTTCCTGCCCCAAGCCGTTGTGGGTGCCGCGCTGCCTAGGGGAAAGCAGTACCTGGCACAGAGCCGGGGGCGTCTGCTGCCGTGATGAGCCAGAGGCGGAACTTGCGGTGGATCTCGAGGGCTCCCCCTTCAACGTCCCCTGCCAGGCCAAAGAGGAGATGGGGAGAGATCAGAACAGGAGCGCCAAGGGTTCCTCTCACTCGCCACCTGCATCCTCCTGCGTGCCTCTGCTGCCTCTGGGCAGGAAATGGGCAGAAAGGAGAAGCTGCTTTGGGGCAAAGGGCAGGGTATAAATAAATCGATTAAAGCCTCATTAGCCAAACACAGCTACTAGGGCTTTAGTTAGAACGTGCTCCAGTTAGATCCCCTTTTCAGTTAGACTTGCTGTGTGCCGAAATATGCATGATTGGCCGGAGCCATCGGCTCTTTGCTGCGATCTGAGCACGGAGCTTTCTTGGGCCAGTGGTTTTTATTTAAAAGAAACAATGAATTAGGCAACAAATCAGGAAGTGCAGACAGAAGAAAGTTCTGTGCAGAGCTCCATCTCCTACCATTCTAAATCTCATGTAATCGCTTAATGGTTACAGTTCCTTTAAGAATGAGGCAAATCATGTTTTCATAGAGTCACAGAGCTGGAAGGGATCTCCAGGGTCATCTAGTCCAACCCCAAACAGGCCTGGAGAAAAACTGCTTCCTGACCCGAAAGTGGCGACCAGCCTTGCCCTGGGCATGTGAGAAAGGGCCACGAGAACTCTAAGCCCTGAGGCTGCAGCCCTTCCCGCCCTCTCTCCTCACGATCTGCCCAAATTCACAGAATCCGCATGGCTGCCAGGTGGCCTGTGGCGTCCTTGCTTATTGGGGGGACGGCCTTACCTTCAAACACACTTTGTGTACCTAAGCTTGGTAGACCTCTGCTGCCACCAGGAATTAAAAACTCCAAATCTCTCTCTCTCTCTCTGCGGGTAGAATGACCCAGGGTCTGGGCACCTCAGAGGACTATGTGGCCCTGAGGAAGGACTGCACTGACTGCTGGGATACGCTTAAATAAAAATTGATTTATTTAATAAAGAACAAAATAGGTTTCTGGTTATTTTGAACTGTTACTGGGTGCTGGGGGGGGCAGCAGTGGGAGGGGCTTCTCGTGTCCTCCCGGCCCCACTGCTGGACCTCCTGGTGGCCCCTGGTATTTCTGGCCCCCACCGTGTGACCCAGACAGAGTGTTGGACTCTTATGCTTCTCTTCTGCTCCACGTATTTGTGCCTCATACATCTGGTGCAGTTTGCTTTCACGGGTTATTCTGCCAAAGTGCCTTCCAATAAACCACCTTAATTCATGTCAGTGACATTTTGGGGCACGCATCTTTCTCCCAACAGTGCCACTGGGGTGACAGAAACCCACAGGGACCAGGACCTCCTGCTTGAGGGGACCAAACTAACTCTGCAGAAGGGTCGGAGCGGCCACTGCCCGGCCACACGCCTTCTCAGGGGTGGCCCCCACCCCGCAGCGTGGCCTGCCTGCCTGAGGAGGCCAGGAAGGTCCCCACACCGCCCTCCTCCCACAGGAGGCCGTTTTCGAGCAGAGAATGGGGGGCCTGGGCGGGACACGGGGCACAACAGGAGTGCCCTTCAGGAGGCTTGTAAGCATTGTGCGCGACTCCAGGCGGAGGGTTTGGTCGGTATCCCCTTCCCGCTATTCCACTGGGAAAGAGCCAGTCACCAGGGGCACCTGCCAGACCGACACCACTTGTGGCCGGGGAGGAGCTTTTGTGGAGAAGGGACTGCAGAGGGACCCCCGAAAGCTCCTCCCCGGCCACAAGTGTTGTCGGTCTGGAAGGTGCCCCTGGGCGCGCTGGCTCTTTCCTGCTGCTACGGACAGACTGACACGGCTCTCTGCCCATCTGGATCTGTAGTATTCTTCCCCGTCCTCCACCTCTGTTACCAGCTTCCTGTATTGTGGGCCACCAGGGCGCCCCCCCCCCAGCCGCCGCCTTCTTGAGCCTGCAGGCCCCTCTGGGGTTCGGAGGCTGAGGAAGGGAGCCCAGCCAGCCCAGGGTTCCCCCCCCCCCGTCCCACGTGGGCTGCGGTGGCAGCTGCTGCCAAGCAGCCTTTGAAGACATCTGCACAGCCAATCAAATCTCCAAGGCCCTCCAGAAGCCTTGCTGGGCAAAAGCCCTCCCCGTGTCCCGAAAGGC